TAAAAAAAAAAAAGAAAGAAAGAAAGAAAGAAAGAAAGAAAGAAAGAAAGAAAGAAAGAAAGAAAGAAAGAAAGAAAGAAAGAAAGAAAGAAGAAGAAAGAAAGGGGAAAAAGGCCACAGCAGCAACATCAAGATCCCAAAAGATCGTTTTAAAGAGTGTGCTTTTGTCCAAAGAGGTGTGTGCCCTTGGTGGGGTCTCTGCTCAGTTCCAGGGATGATGAATGCCAAGTTAGGGCCCCATGGCCTGCCTGTCACCAAGTGACCACAGGAGGGAATGGAACTAGGGTCTAGATGTAGAAAGACCCCAGGTTCCCTAGCAGCTCGTGTGGTTTTAAATTACAGAAATGACACCCGAAGTGTGCAGGTCATCTCATGAGCTAGGTGCACACCACTGTTTCAAGGCTACAGGCTTAGGGACAAACACAGAGGCCCGCAGACTGCGTAAACGCATGGACGTGGGTTCTGAGAGCCATTAAACCATCCCCCACACACACACACACAGGGCTTCACTATGTAGTTTTGAGTAGCCTGGAACTCACTATAGAGACCTGGCCTCAAACACACATCTGCCTGCCTCTGCCTCCAAGTGCTGGTACTAAAGGTGTATGTCACCGTATGTGTGGCTTCTAATTTTCTTAAAAACTGTCTTCTCCATGTAAGAAGCAACAGTTGCTAAATACCCACGGTATAGAGGGATTCACAAGATTCTAGAATTCACCTCGCAAACAAGCAACTGAACACACTTGTGTAACAAGACTCTCTCCCAAACATGTCCTTAACCATTAAAAGTGGGAGCTTAGGGAGGAAAAAATCCACCGCTCATTTTGGCTGAACAGTTGAAACAACTGCAGAGATTTCTCACAGACACAACATGTCCAACATCCCTATAGTCTCATCCTGATAAACGAAATCTGAAGAAAACTGTTGATGGCTTGAGATACTTGGCCATCCCATGTTGTCCAGGCTAAGTCAGAGGCTCAGTCCTCCTGGGGGCAACAGGCTCACCTCTGCGATCTCCACCTTCCTCTCCCACATCTTGATGGTCTTCTCCAGCTCCCCATTCAAGATTTTCTCCTTGACGTACATCATCACCTGGGGAGCCCGGAATTCGGCCAGCTGCTTCCGTAACTTATTGTTCAAGGCATGGGCTTTGGCCCTGTCCTGTTGGGAAGGACCCATTAGCCCATGAAATTCTGGGAGCTCCTGCTCCATCCCCACATTTCAATACAGTCCCAAAATCGAGAGTGACAGTCGCAAAGGGGGGTGCCCTCCCAAGATTCTGGGGGGCCCTCCCAAGATTCTGGGGGGCCCTCCCAAGATTCTGGGGGGCCCTCCCAAGATTCTGGGGGGCCCTCCCAAGATTCTGGGTTTTTCTAGCAGATTGTGATGTTTTCATCTAGTTCAGAAACACTGGAGAGACTCAACTTTTCCTCTCCTTTTCCTCTCTGTTCTCTTTCTCCCCTTTACTAAGGACTATGCTTTCTCTTGTTCAGATTTCTTAAGGTGTTTTTGTGTGTGAGGAGATGTGTGTGTGTGTGTGTGTGTGTGTGTGTGTGTGTGTGTGTGTGTGTGTGTATATACACATTTCAATTTTATCAGTCTCAATTCACTTTCCTGTCTTCCTGTATCGTAAAATACACATAACAAAAGTTTTCATTTTAAACATGTCAAACACATAGTTCAGGGGTATTAAGTACATATACAATCTGAGCACTTGGGAGGAGGACACAGGAGGATTTGGAATTTGAATTCATCCATGGGTATGTATATGTTTGAGGCCTGTATGAAGTACATAATACCCCTCACAATGGGGGAGGCAAGCTACCCCTGGGTACTTCCAACTGAAAAGCTATCGTGTCATAGATCAACCTCCTTGCTGAGGATCACCTTTGGATTCCTCATGTGTTTGGCACTGGGAGCTGGTTAGAAATGCAGACCTGGGCAACCCCAGACCCCTCTTGTCAGTCTGAACCCTAACAAGCTCTCCAAGTGATTGGTTTCCTGTATCCAGTCTGAGAAGCACTGTTTTGATTCACTGTGATACAAACTAATAAAAAAATTACTATTCACATGTTTTAAGAAGGTGGTAATCCAAGCCGGTCAGTGGTGGCACAATCCTTTAATTCCAGCATTTGGGAGGCAGAGGCAGGTGGACTCGGTGACTTTGAAGCCAGCCTGGTCTACAAAGTGAGTTCCAGGGCAGCCAGGGCCATTAACACAGATAAACCCTGTCTTGAAAAACAAAAACAAAAAACAAAACAAAACAAACAAACAAAAAAAAAAACAACCAAAAACAACAACAAAGAAAAACAAAAAAGAAGTTGGTAATTCACCCTGATTATCACAGACAGGCAGCTGTGGTTAGGCCTAAGGATGTGCTCAGAACCAGGGTGAGCTTCCTTTCTCATCAGGATAATGATAAGAGAATATTGGGTATTTTTTCATGGCATCTGACATTACACCTGTAGCCCCAAAACTCAGTAGACTGAGGCAGAAGGATTGAGCATTTAAGAATAGCTTAGGCTACATAGTGAGACCCTGAGGAGGAGGAAGATTACAAAGCAAGAAAACGTATTACAGCTGTAAGGGTCATGCTTTGAAGATCGAGGACTCCAGTAACAACAGAACATTCCACCTGTACATCAGGGATGTCACCACACGAAAGGCGGTCCGCTGCTCTCATCTCTATGTCCACGGCAGGAGTTCTGCCTACAGACAGAGCTGCTGAGAGCTCTGGTCATCTGCCTAAGGGACTGGCTTTATTTGGGAGGGAGTATGAAAAGACCATGCCAAAGGACTTTGTAGGAAACAATGGAGATCTCTGGGTAGCCACTTAGAGGAACTCTTCAGTTTCTACTGCTGTGATAAACACCATGACCAAAATCATCGAGGAGGAGAAAGGGCTTATTTCATCTGACAGCTTTCAATCTGTCATCCGGGAGAGTCAGGACAGGAGCTCAAGACAGGAACTTAAGCGGAAACAGCTTACTGGGTTGTTTCTAATGGTTTGCTT